GGCCTCTTTGTTCGTCAAAGTTTGAGACTTAACTCTTGTTTGAGGTTGAACGTTTGGAATGTTTGGATATGCCAAAAGGGATAGATTCTGAACATAAAGACCGTAAGTGTAAAAACTTGCCCTAAAAATGGAAGATATTGTTGACACTAGCCAAAATTTCGGCTCAAACTTGAAAAAACGAATGGCCCAAATCGGGTCATAATAATGTACTTATCTCGTTAAGCTCACTCGATAAAATGCTTGACGAAACTCACATTTTCTTTGTCAGAAAAAGGAAAGGACATTCATTACTGGAAATAAGTATGTGGATACAGTTCATTTGCTTCATAACAAAGAAGCTCTCTAAGAGGGGGAGGGGGAGGGGTTCAAAACACAATTTCGAGGTAATCTATTTTTACTCTGAACCTTAACAACCCAATCAGCAACTCTATTGGACTCTCTATTAATATGGGCTAACTTTATATCCTTGAAAGATTTGAGGAGCGAGTAGGCTTTTTTGATAAGGCCTTGTACTTCCCAGTTGATCTGCGCTCCACAAGTGAGTGCGCTTATCAGATCAGAATGGTCCAACTCCACTTTAAGTGAGACTTCAATTTGCGTGGAGAAGTACATTAGGGTTTCCACCATGGCTTGTGCTTTCGCCTGAGCTGTTGAAGAAGCCTTGATAGATCGCACAAAGTCATCAATTAGCTTCCCAGGGCTTTTGCGGCAGACACCCGCCACCATACCTACGTTTGTTCTAGCTAGGTAAGCTCCATCGATGTTAATTTTGGTCATCTTTACCTTTTCAATTTCCATATTATCGCGACCTAAATTTCTCAGGCTAATGGATTATTAAGACTCAGCCTAACTCGGGCCCTCCCAAGCCCTACCAATTCGCAACTTAGGGTTTAAGTTTTTAACATGTAAAAGTTTTCATGCTTGGAGTCGCCACTAATCTATTTATGGTAGGTCGATTAGAAACCTAAATAAAACATAGGGAGATATGTTTTATTCCTACGAACTAGAGATTCTAAACTCGGGGACTTGGTTACGCTAGATCTAGTCTAACACCCTTTCGGTACCTTTTTTTTTCAAAAAATGTCTATGCAGGCAGTTTGAATCCATTTTATTATTTAATCACTAACATGTGAGGTGTTTATGCGGGTGTGCAAACCACCAATTTAACACCCAAGAAAGCAATAAACAAATTGCAAGATTAGGAGAATGATGTACCTTAGAGCAACGCAAGCATCTGCGTTATTAGTAGAAAACCACACAGACAATCCTAATATGATTTCTAATTAACAAAGCAAGGCACTCAAGATGTTCTTTAGGGTTTGCGCTTTATTAAAATGCAAACTAATCTATATGCAATGACGTGCAAAAAATGACATGCGATTAATGCAACCTAGCATGCGAACTATATGTCATGCGACGACGTGACCTAATTCTAATGACGAACAAACGATTTATTTTTGGTATTTTTACAATGAAATTCGAAATTTAAAAAATGTCTAAAATAACACGCAATCTAACAACTTCTTTTTTTGATATTTTTTTTATTAAATTCGAAATTAAAAGTTACTCAAATTATGAATGCAATCTATCCCAATCTATCCTAAAGTAACTCATTCTTTTGGGATTTTCATGGAAATTCGGAATCTTAAAATAACCTAAATAATCTATTAGGATTAGAATAACACCTAATTTAAACTAGGAAATAAATTATCTCAAGTCCTAATTTAAATTAAATAATTATCCTATCTTCTATATACATTTAAGGTTCTATAAACATGCAAAACTTCTAATTTAAATACTAACTAACATATTTTTGGATTTTCTTTATTAAAAAAAACAATCAAACAAAGATAACAACCGCATTCAAACAATCCACGCAATCCGCAAGATTCTTCTTATCAAATTTGAATTAGGAAAAGAAATCAAATTAACAGTCATATCTATAGGGTTATAGATATCGACGAAAAACTGATCATTCGAATTTGGAAAGCGAATAAAATCTATTATCGTATCCAAGTGATCATGGATAAGATAATAATTTTCCGTATTGTCGCGTATCGTACCTTATGGATAAGGTCGGATAGTCGTCCAAATACGTTGCCAAATTAGGAAAAATTCCTAATTTTGGGTATTTTCAAATATTGCGGATATAACACACATTATCCTAAGATATTTAGCTATCCACGCAATATTCACGAAATATTCAAACATCCGAAAATTAAGAAACCAAATATTATGAAAATATTGGATAACATCCTTACCTAATTTCGAGAAATTTCCAAATTTGGACTTGCAGATCGGGATTGCGGATCGGGACGAGCGGCGGTAGGACGAACCGGCGGCGACGATGAGAGGCGACGGCGATAGAGGCTCACCGTGGGATAGCAACGGGGTGGCCGGCGGCGGGCACGGTGGTGTGCGCGGTGGTGCGGCCGAAGCTGTGGCGAGTGCACGGGGATGAAGCTTGACTTCACACGTTTGTTCTTCCTTTATGTTATTTGTTTGTGGAGAATGCGGAATCCCGAGAGCATGATGTTGTCTCCTTCAGCAGCGAACTCATCCTCCACCAATTGCACTCGGTTTTGTCCTCTTGTGAACCTGCAAACAAAGTCGTCCCTGAGAAGGAGAGGAAAAGATGAATTCTTTTGCTTCTTTCTCCACTGAAGCACTTCTCCACTTGATTATTGCTCGTTTGGCCACCGCTTGACTCCTCACCAACGACGGATGGAAGACTTTGTGCGTTAGCCCGTTGGAAGAATCGTCGTGGACTGGAGCTCGTCAATATAGTGGATGCACGCTAGCAGGGCAGTGGCGAACAGGGCAGCGGACTCGATGTTAAAGCAGCTCGTCAAGGGGGCTTCTTGGCTCACAGTGGAAATAGCAGGCGCCGGGACAGCAGCGGTGGTGGCAGCGAGGCAGCGCGACGGTGGGGCGGGCACGTGCGCGAGCGACTCTCTCTCTTACTCTTGCTCACGTGTCTCTGGTACTGTCAAGAATTATGTTCCGGAAAAAATGAGAGCCCCCTTGATTGAGGGGTGTAATCACATATTGATATTGCAACCCTAAGTTAATTGGCCAAGCTTCCTAGTCTTAATGGGCTTAGGCTTAGGCTTTTATCCTTTAATTTTTATTTAATTTCAAATGGGCCGAATTAATTTGAGATTTTCTCTAATTAAGCTCAATGGACTTATTTAAGCTCAAAACAAGACAACCAAGGCCTTTTAGACTTGTGATTTTCGTCCCCCGTCTTCCGAGTGAGACGATCTTTGTTCGGTACTCGAGCTTGATTTATGCAATGGATTTTCAACTTACTCACTGCCGCCGGTCCGATGTGAAATGCAATTAAACTATATGATCCTAAACTATATGCTATGCGATATTGATATTTTTGTTTAGGGGTTAAAATTTAATCCCTAATTTTCTATGCAATTAATCACTAAATGATGTGCCAAAATTTAGGTGTCAACACATAAATAAGTAGCACATATGCAAAATGGAAATCATAATAATCAACATCACATATAAGTAGGGAAAATTAACAAAAAAATTATAAACATATTGTACGGATGCCAATTCAGTTTTAATTTGATCAATTTATTCCCAAACCTTTTAACGATTTATGAATGTAGTCATTTTGGCCAATTTCGGCTGGCAATGTTGATGTGGATGTCGGGCATTTTACGTGGCATACGCTAGCATCGATGTGAACAAATTTTTGAATTTTTTTTATATATTCTTTGAATTTTTTCTTTTCTTTTCCTTCTTCTTTCACCGGTCACCAGGTCTCAACGGTGGCATGCGACCGGCCATAGACGAGGACCAATGAGTTCAACCCTTGCCGGCCATGGTGATTGGTGGATGAAGAAGGAATCACAAGAAAAAATAAGAAAGAAGAGAAAAAAAAGGAAAAGAATAAAAAAAATTGAAAATTTTCAGAAAAATAAAAAAAAAAGTGCAAAAAATCGTTCATGTTAATGCCGATCATGCCATATAGGACAGCCATGTCCATGTCAACAATTGTCGGCAAAAATTGGCGAAAAAGATTGTATTGGCAAATCGTTAAAAGATTTATGACTAAATTAGTTTAATGAAAATGTTTTTGATTGAATTGATATCCATGCAATATGTTTAAAACTTTTCTTTTTGTAATTATCTCCATATAAGTTTGTATGATTCTACGCTCCAGAAGAAGGGAGAGAGGGAAGTATGCATGACGATCGAGATGTTCGTGTGTATCGTGTATAATGGCCAATTGTGTTATGAAGGATTGCTGTGCCGAGGAGATAAATTATGGGCATCAATTTAATTACATCTATTTTTTTTCAATTTTAAAGTTAATGAGACATGACAGTCAAAAAGGGTATATTCAAAACAGTAAGTCCTTTTTTTTTTAGTTTTCTTGTCAAATTTACAATCAATCAAAGAAGAAAGACGAAAGAGATAAACATTAGGGAATACATTTGAGATACTTTCTCTTCGTCCATTTTGTTCCTGTCAAACTTAAACTCAATAAACCATCAAGTTTTCGGGGATTAAAAGCCAATAATGAAATGTTTAATGAGCCGAGCGAGAGCCACGTGGCAGATTATATATCATGAAAAATGGAAGATCAGTCTTGTAAATTCTTCCTGTCCTAAAAGGATCGAAAATCCTTTGTTAGGCGGACCATAAGCAAACAGACAACTGAATACCTACGTAAGGAGTTAAAACAAAGTAGCTGGTCGGTTAATAATGGTTACGATCCCCTCCCTTTTCTTATTATAATAATAATAATAATAATCTTTCATTGTTGCCCAATACCAAATCCCATAAAAAAAAAAAACTAACCAGCAAACAAGAAAAGAAATAAATTAATAAACAAAATAAAAGGGAAAAAAAAGTGAACGAAAATCGCAGCTGGTATTTGGAATTAGAGAATGCCATAAATGACCTTGGAATTTTCGCTCGTCCATGGAGTACCCCAAGGATGAAATCGCCATTTTCTCAATCGATCGATTTTCTCATTGTAGTTTTCGCAGGAAAAATAGCATATCCCCTCTCTCTTTCTCTCTCTTGTTCGCTCTCGATCTGCTCCTGCCGGAGGACGGAGGAAGGTGAAATCCATCTGCAGCAATTCTTCGTCACTCTCTCTCTATAGCTCATCCAGCACGACGAGGTAGTACCCTTTTCCACGCTGATCTATCCCGTTGCTTTCTTATCTGGTGCCGAGATCGCCTCCTGGGTTTCCGTTTTTGCCGTTCAATTTCTGCGTTTCGTGCCAATTCGGCGGAGAGACCTAGCGTTTACGCATTGGTTTTAGCTTGTTTGGATCGCGCAGCTGCTGAATGTAGCGTTCTTTAAGTCTCGGTTCGGCTGAAATCTGGTTTGCGTGATGTGGGTATTGTGTGCTTTGTTGTTTCGAAGCGGTTGAGCTCAGTTTGAACCCAACGCTTGTTTCGTCGCGATTCTCGGGCCATTAGGCGGAGGAAGTTGAGCTGAATTTGATGCTAGAGCTGGGAGTTGTGTTCATGATGAGAGCTTGAGATTGTGTGACTGGACTTAAAGCTAGAATATGTGTTCGTGCTGATGGTTTCTTTTTCGTTCGTGAATTAGATGAAGGAGAGTAGAGATGGAACCAGGAATGATAGGAGTGCGAAATCTTCATCCGTCAGTACGGTTCCGCTTATCTTGGACATAGACGACTTTAAGGTAAATACGGTGGAGTCGTGCTTTGCTCGTGTGAATTGTGTATTCTAGGATGATCTGAATTTGTTGAGCCGGAAATCTTTGATTTTTTCCTTGAAGGGGGATTTCTCCTTTGATGCATTGTTCGGTAACTTGGTCAATGATCTCCTCCCGTCATTCCAAGAGGAGGAAAACGATTCATCAGAAGGACATGGTAATATCGGTGCAAACGATGTTTTGCCGAATGGGACTCTTAGAGCTTCAGCTGATGCTGCTAAATCAGCGCAAGGGCTTTCTACTCCTTTGTTTCCAGAAGTTGATGCTCTTCTGACCTTATTCAAGGATTCCTGTAGGGAGTTGGTTGATCTTCGAAAACAAGTATGACTTAAGGAATATCATGTAATTTCACAGTTTGATGCAAATTATCGTATCATGTTTACTTTTGATCTTCTCCCATCAATCTGAAAACAAGCATTGCATTCCAGGTTGATGGCCGACTCTATAATCTCAAGAAGGAGGTCTCAGTTCAAGATTCAAAGCACCGAAAGACACTTGCTGAGGTTAGTTGATATGAGGTCATGTACAGCACCCTTTAATAATTTTGAAGGCCAATTTGAATCCCAAAAAGCACACAATAATCCGGAGTTATGTTGCTCTCCAAATTCAGGGACACAAATTTAAATATTTGGTGATTCTTGGATTTCTTGGTATGTTGTGTGATGGCCTTGGTCCTTCTGTTGTGCCAGTGCTGAAATCAAGCAAATTATCATTAAATTTTCCTATCACACAATAGATTTTGTCTTAGTTTGTCAAAGCTTGGCTGTGAGCTTCTACATGTCCATTTCATGTGGCCTTTGTTAACTTTATCGTTATCATAAACCTCAATTGCACTTACTTGCTTTGCTACCTGACCTATTTTTCAGCTGGAAAAAGGTGTAGATGGCCTGTTTGATAGCTTTGCGAGATTGGATTCCCGAATTTCCAGTGTTGGGCAGACTGCTGCAAAAATCGGAGATCATCTTCAGGTAAGACTTGGATAATTGTGTAGCTGTTTAAATGTTCATTGTATCTGCGGTCACAGTATAATTCATGTTCATAGTCAATTGCCCCCCTTACCTGTCGAAAAGTGAAAGGGGGTCTTTTTTCTTTTCTTATCTTAGCTAACTTACCATTCTTTATTAGAGTGCAGATTCTCAACGTGAAACTGCAAGTCAGACAATAGATCTTATAAAGGTATTTCGATGTGCATTTCATTTGATCTTTTATTGCATATAGTTTCCATCTGATAGAGTCTGTTAACATTAATTACTATTGCATAGTGCAGTACCTGATGGAGTTTAATAGCAGCCCAGGTGATCTAATGGAGCTTTCATCTCTTTTCTCCGATGACAGTCGCGTTGCCGAGGCCGCTTCAATTGCTCAGAAATTGCGTAAGTGGAATCTCGGTCATGTAGTATTCTAGTGCTTGCATCTATGTCTCCGTTATTTTTTAAATGGTAATCATGCAAAAAGTTTTATGAGATGCCTCTTCATTGTTTGACCGATGGTTCCTGCTGCTGAAATCAACCGATTGCATGCCTTTGTACAAATATCTATTGAAACGAGGGAGTGAGGGAGGGAAGGAGGGAGAGAGAGAGAGAGAAAGAGTAGCGACCTCCTATGTTTTGCTATTAAACAAAATATTTATATGCCAGTGTTCTCCTTCTTATATAAGCCAACTCTTTCTTTGAATTAGATCCGCCATCATCCCCTTTACCCTGTTAAGTGAGTTCCGTCAGCTCTGTTCATTTTGTTGTTCTTCTTTAAGCATGATGCACAAGTTGAAACTTAAATCAAAATAATAAAAGAATGGAAGAGTTGTGTGTGCTGCCATCTGGGGTAAGTGGGTTTATAGATTGAAATGTGGTTAGTTAATGGAGATATGAATGCCCTATCATTGAAAGGAATGAGGATCTTTGAGGCTAGCAACAAATCATGCATTTGCTTCTGACCGGAAAGGGAAGAGGGAGCAGAGGATTACTGTGCAATCTATGATGAGTGCTGTTGCCCGATGATGACAACACAAACTCAAGTTCAAAGGCACAAATATTGGCTGAATCATTCAAAAATCACCCTTTCTTCTGTACATGAATTTCACGAGCATGAAAAATTAGCAAAAAAATAGGTTTAACAAGTTGAATAAGGTTATACTTGGAAAGGTTTTACCTTCAGAATAGGGACTTTCGACAAAGTTAATGATTATGTTGTCTATCTTGCGCTTGACTGTATGTAACTATTACACGAGTCTTGCCTTGGATGTGCGGTCATGCAGCTTAGTGCAATCGCTCAAGTACATGTATCTCGATGTTCTCTTGGATTTGGGAAATGAAATTTTGGAGAAACAAATTTTGACGAAATTCAATATCATGGCATGAACCTTCTGATAATATTGATATACATCACTAACCCTTATTTTGTCTTGCAAGATTTTTGTGCCAACACCATCCCATGAAGATGAAACTTAAGCTCTGTCGTCCATTTTGGCCATTGAATTTGCCTTGGCGATTGAAAAAAATACCCATCCTGTATTTTTTATTCGTTTCCCTCGATTTGAACAAGTAGAATTTATGGTATTATTTTTCTGGTAAAGGGTCATTTGCTGAAGAAGATATTGGAAGACAAGGCATAGCTGTGTCCTCGGTAGTGGGAAATGCTACTGCTAGCAGGGGGCTGGAAGTTGCTGTTGCTAACCTCCAGGATTACTGCAATGGTATTGTTTTTTTCGTAAACTGCTTTGATTATTTAAAATATTTTGTGGTTAGACAATTGTCTTAAAGTGAAATAAATCTAATATTAACTTGCCTGTTTTCTGTTAAAACTCCAGAGTTGGAGAACAGATTGCTGGCGCGATTTGATGCTGCATCACAGAGAAGAGAATTGTCAACAATGGCTGAGTGTGCCAAAATATTATCTCAGGCAAATCTCTTTCTACTATCTTCCATTGGCATTGTGCTCGAGCGTCAACTCATGAACACATTCTCGTGCTTCCATTGACTGACGCACGATTGGTATACTATTTCCTTTTGGATTTGTCATGTTGTTATCCTTCACCTCGTCATCTCATAATCGTGGTAGATGTTTATCCTTTCGCTCTATTTGTTTCCTTTCCTTTTGGTGCTATTTCTTGGGAATTGCTTGAAACTAAACGTAATGTGCCTAGATGCTCAATAAATTTATTATTCCTTAATAACTTGGTCAGTATTCAAAGATTTGATTGTTAATCACATAAACAAAATTGATTATATGAAAACGCTATTATTTCACAGAACCATCTTGTATCATGTCCCAACGGCCCTGACAAACAATATGAAGATTTATGACCTTCACATATTTGCATGTTGATGGTATACATTCCATGACATCCTGCAATGGGCATTCTAACTTTAAAAAGTATCTTCAATTTTCTTGTACTGAAGTCAAAACCTTGCCAGTTACCACCATCTAGATCATACATATCATTTTGGACAATAACCAGAAACACATATTTAGATGCTCCTATTTGATGGATAAGATTGGTTTAGCAACAATTTCACCACTCCTCTAGAATTAAGTGAGTGGTCATCAACAGAAGAAGGAAATCAGTTGCTCAGAGATGTCTCTGAGATATATGCTACCAGCTCTTTTGACATTTTGTTTTTGTTGAATCTTGTAGATTGAAATAGTCCTTGCATTTTGTGTTCATTTTTATTGGCTCCTTGTCACTGCTGCTTCTAGATTCACTCGAATGAACCTGAGATTGTTTATACGTAATTCCAGTCTGTCAAGGACACTTTTCTTTGAATCTTACTTAGTTACTTCTGCATTGCAGTTCAACAGGGGAACCAGTGCCATGCAGCATTATGTGGCAACACGACCTATGTTTATTGATGTGGAAGTCATGAATGCAGATACAAGGTTGGTTCTTGGTGAGCATAATTCACAGGTTAGCCCAAGCAATGTGGCTCGTGGCCTGTCATCTCTGTACAAAGAAATTACAGGTTTGAAGCAGTGGCATAAATCCTAAATCGAGGTTCATAATTAAAATGTGTATGACATAATTGTTCTTGTTCCTTCTTTCTTTCTTATTATTGCGCAGATACTGTGCGTAAAGAAGCGGCCACGATAATGGCTGTGTTTCCTTCACCCAATGATGTAATGTCAATATTGGTTCAGGTGCTGCAAAATTCAATCTCCTTTCTGACTCTGCACTTCAGTTGTCTCTGACATATTGGATTCTTTTTTGAGTACACAATCAGTTCTTGAAGTGCTACAAAGATTTTATGTTTGTGCAGAGAGTCTTGGAGCAGCGAGTTACAGCCCTTCTAGACAAAATACTAGTCAAGCCATCTCTTGTAAATTTACCTCCTATGGAAGAAGGCGGGCTATTATTGGTGAGTAATCACCAGGATGAATGTTATTCTTACACTTTTGTTCGTTTCTAGCAGGAACTGACTTTTGTTTCTCATCTGCTTTGAGGCTTCAGTACCTAAGAATGTTAGCAGTGGCGTATGAGAAGACACAAGAACTTGCTAGAGACTTGAGATCTGTTGGCTGTGGTGACTTGGATGTTGAGGGTAATTATTTGACATTAGTATGTTCATTTCTCTGCTGCATTTTTAAAGCTTTCTGCCCAGAGGAAATTATGTATCACTTGGAGAAATAGCATATGTAAAACAAAAGCATGTTGGTTTTTGTTTGGACTTATTCAAGAGATGACAACTTAGTTTCAAGATGTATTTTTATTCTAATCTCTCACCATTGTCACATATACATTCAGTTCGTTCCAGACATATTCTAATGGCTACTCTATATCGAATTCTTTAGGCCTCACGGAGTCTCTGTTTTCTTCACACAAAGATGAGTATCCTGAACATGAGCAGGCATCTCTTGGACAACTTTATCGAGCAAAGGTATTCATCAATTTCATTTATGTCATCCTGATTCAGAAACTGTTATATTTTTTTACATTAGCATATTTCATGCCTTTTGCTTCACAGATGGAGGAAGTACGTGCAGAAAGCCAGCAGCTTTCTGAGTCAACTGGAACAATTGGCCGATCAAAAGGACATTCAGTTGCATCTTCCCACCAGCAGATATCAGTTACTGTTGTAACAGAGTTTGTGCGTTGGAATGAAGAATCTATATCAAGATGCACCCTGTTTTCCTCTCAAGTAAAGCCTTTTCTTGCTGACATTACATGCAAAACTAAGCATTGTTTCTCATGTCAGATCATGATTGTGTAAGTGGAGTAGATTGTAGGCATCCTGGCTATTGATCTTCCAGGACCACTTTCAGAAGAAAACTAATTTCTCATGGCCAAAAGATCAGAGTTTTAATGAGCATTAAGACCTTTTTAGTGTAAAAAGATATTTTAGAAGGTCCATTCAATAGAACATACATAAGTTGTTCCAAAGATCCCAGCGGCAGTCGTCTGATTATTATCTTCTACATCTCCTTTTGTGTGTGCTTTGTGCTGAAGATCTGATATGGTGAACAGCGTGGTGCTGAAAGTAAAATTTACAGATGAGAAAGATGCATTGGGAGCAGATCGTAAGAATAACAAACGAATCAACTTGGATGAAGTGCCATAAGATATTAAGATCAGAGTGTTTTTAGAACCATTGACATATTTATTGTGCATTTTGGTGGTAATTCTCATCAGGAACTGCAATAAATACAGGAAGAATTGTAGAAAGAAATGGTGGAATATCATCAACGGCACATTCGTGTTTGTTGCTTGATTTATGTGTTGGGCAACACATTGCTTAGTCATAGACAGTTTAGTTATTCCTTATGCAATGATGGATTGATCTAATTACGAACATTGGTTTCTGATTGATTCATATTCTTATTTATATGCAGCCTGCCACACTTGCAGCTAACGTGAAAACAGTTTTTACTTGCCTGCTAGACCAGGTAAAGTCCTTGCCCCCTATCACCTTGCAAATTTTGTATATTTTTTTCGTAATACTTATATTGTTCTTATGATCCAGGTAAGTCAGTACCTAACAGAAGGGCTTGATCGGGCTAGAGATAGCCTCACTGAAGCTGCCGCTTTGAGGGAAAGGTTTGTGCTGGGCACCAACATTAGTCGGAGGGTAGCTGCTGCAGCTGCTTCTGCTGTAATTATCTGATCACAGGCCTTCCATTGGATTTTGTGTCCATTCTCTATGACTATGCACTGTGTTGCATCTCCTTGTGAATTTACTACTCCAATAAAAGAGAAAACGTATTAAAAATATGGATCATATCTTGTGTAGGCTGAGGCCGCTGCCGCTGCTGGTGAGAGCAGTTTCAGATCTTTCATGGTTGCCATACAACGCAGTGGTAGTAGTGTGGCAATAGTCCAGCAAGTATGTCCGGATGCTCTTTTCCTGTTGTTCAAATCAGCTGCATGAGAAACTAGCTGCTGATCGATATCTTGAACTGGTTCGAATATTTTGTCAGTACTTCGCAAATTCAATATCTCGGCTCTTACTACCAGTGGACGGTGCACATGCTGCTGCTTGTGAAGAAATGGCGACAGCTATGTCTGGTGCTGAATCTGCTGCTTATAAGGGTCTTCAACAATGCATCGAGACATTAATGGCTGAGGTGTGTGTCAATGACTGTTCTATCTGATTCTACATTAATGAAAAATTGTGAAGTAGGTTGTCCTAGCTCTGCAGGAGGTTCTTTATATCGGTATATTTTTGTTTATATAAATAAACCCTTTATATATTCTTTTCCTTGCTATCTCTTTTCCACATGTTCATCTAGCCTCACCCCACCCAAAAATTCTGGGGAATTCAACACCATGATGCAGGTTGAAAGGCTGCTGTCAGCTGAACAAAAGCAAACAGATTATAGGTCACCGGATGATGGCATAGCTCCTGATCATCGACCAACAAATGCCTGCACACGGTAGGTTCATTTTGATAAAGGTTGGTTCAACTTGTGAGAGTCAAACTCATGTGAACCTTTGAGAACATTGTTATTGTGTGTGGACACAAACCATAAGAGCAAATAAAGCATGCAAAACATGCACATGTCTCATCCTTATTTATCCAGATGATATTCTCTTTCTCTTTCAATCTACTCTACTTACAAGAAGAATCTGAAATTTTGTGTCTTGTGAGTTTTTGCGGGCTCGCACTAACATTTCTCTTTTGTACTGACTAGGGTTGTGGCCTATCTTTCTCGTGTGCTTGAAGCTGCATTCACTGCATTAGAAAGTCAAAACAAGCAAGCGTTTCTCACTGAACTGGTATCTACTTTTGTTGGTTCTGAACTAAGCTAGTAGTGTGTCATTTTGTCTTTACATACTTTCATACCTTCAAAAAGGACTTTGCTTTTCTTTCTGAATTTTCCTACATCGCTTAATTGATATCGCTAGATTTGCTTTCGAACAAGTTCAGCACTTTATTGCAAGCCATGCGCATAGGCTCTTCATTCTTGTATATATATGCCCATATAGGTGTTTATATATAGATGTGGAATCACATAGCCACAAGTTTTGTGAATTTGTCACAAAATGAGCATCAAGATCTTGCACCGTTAAGTTCCTTTGCCTGATTTACTTTGAGTTGCATGCTTATTGTTTGACATCATGCAGTGGCTTTGATTTTGCAGGGTTTTATTGAATTGTCAATGCGTTTAAATTTAACTTTCTGATGATATGAATTCAGGGAAATCGCTTGTACAAAGGGCTGCTTAATCACTGGCAAAAGTTCACTTTTAATCCCAGGTAAGTAGCACTCTGTTTGGATCACTTTCTTTTCTAAATTAAATCTTGTCCTCATTAATGCTTTGATGTTTGGCAACATGATGATAGTTGTATGCACTTATCTTTATTGTTGGATGTGTTGGCCAGCACTTGTGAATGTTATATTCTCTTATTGGTGGAACTTCTTAATTCTGTGAAGACCTCTTTCTTCTTCAAAACATAACTGTTGTCCTGTCTTCTCTTCTACAGTGGAGGTCTGCGGCTGAAGCGTGACATAACTGAATATGGAGAATTTGTGCGTAGTTTTAATGCTCCTTCCATTGACGAAAAATTTGAGACGTTGGGCATGTGAGTCGAGGACCGGTTATTCTCCAGATTTGCTTTGACGACATTGTATTCTTAATAACACTATATTATTTTTCTTCCAGCATGGCAAACGTCTTTATTGTTGCTCCTGAGAGCCTCTCCACATTGTTTGAGGGCACTCCCAGCATCCGGAAAGATGCACAAAGGTATCTAAGAGCTACTGGCTATACCATATATATTCCCCCACCCCAAGACAAAAATGCAGCCTGAAAAAGTAACAATTTAAGTGGATGTCATGGTATTCCCGAAAAATTCAAAGTTATGTCGTTGCTTTTTTAATGGATAAATCGCTTTTGGACTGGTGGTCTAGATTCTAGGATACAGTCTATTGCTGAGGTGTACTCAATAGTTGAAAGAGTCTTAGAATGGCAAAACCTTGAATCTGTTTTCTACAGCATGGTGTGGCTGAGAAGTAGATTTAACTCCAGTAGTACATCAAGTAACTTGGGTATGAAATAATTAAGAAAAGAACTTGATTACTAGACTGTTTAGATTTTACTTCTCTCTCTCTCTCTTCTCTCTCTCTCTCTCTCTCTCTCACATTTCTTGAAATGCAAATTACATTTGCATGAGGGATAACTTAAGTTTTGCTTGTAAAACAGGTTTATCCAGCTTAGAGAAGACTATAAGAGCGCAAAGCTAGCAGCCCGACTTAGCTCCCTATGGCCAAGCTCTAGTTGACACTTGATCCCCTGTCAATGCAGAGTTTACCACCCTAATATTGTTGGGCAGTTCATCACTGGTGCTCCATCAGTCATATCGTACTTCCTCGGCTGGATTCTTCTGATAGCACCCACGAGCAAACTAATTTGGGGCAAAGCTGGTGCCGGACTCTTCGGACTTATGTCAGGATTATGTCAGTTCTCCTTTTTCCTCGTACCTGGTTGTAAATTTTGAGCTGTGGATACAGAGATGAGTTTTGCCCCCTTTCCATAGCTTCTACTTTATGAATTACCAGTGCAAATTTATTTATTCTTCAGGTGCCAGTCAAGGCAGGAGTCAGTCTGGTCTGTATTGCTGTTGTATATGAAACTCTAGGATGAATGACAAGATACTTTTGAGTAGTTCTTTCTTTTTTCTGGACACAGTTATTAGATACCAATTCTGTTCCGAGATGAGTCCTTTTCCCCCATTTAAGTTTAATGTGCTTCAGGATTCCAGAGTTTCAGTTTAGTGTATCTGCAATTTCTCAAAGTTAAAGCAAGGAGAATCCTCTTCTACGGCCTTGTATGGTAAAAGCTGGGGGTGAAATCGTGATGCTCTTTCGACAAATAGAGGGATGAGGATCGCGAATCCATCAACTTGCACTGTTCACAGATTCGCAATTCACGAGTGGAGGACCATTTCCTCGGTGTCTTTGAAATGATGTGTTATCACGACTGGCTGGCGTAGGTGGATGTTACTGCAAACTTGATTTTCTTTTTGGAACCAAGTTTTTTTCGGACGATGGGATTTTAATCCCGTGAATAACAACCCCACCCCTGTTCAATTGGAGACAGTGTCAAGTTCAAAATCGACCCAGTAAGCTTCTTGAGAGTTGTATAAAAGACCCAATGAAAAAAGAGACGAGAGAAAGGTATGCCGTAGGGTATGCCTGTTCCCTAATGCCTTTGAGGAAGCGAACACGGTTTTCTGGGCCATTCAGAGTTTCTACAGGTTAGGATGTAATTCAGTACTGCATGGAGCGGATGCAGTAGACATTGACTCGTCATGGTTTTTGGTATGTGGCAAGAAGTGGGACGACATTGATGAACTGTACAAGTTGAGGCTGCAGCCTTTAGGGACTCGAAGTCTCCTGTGCTCTATTTGTGTAGATGCACTTGAGTTGCGTTTCGTTTTAAACATTCAATACCTTGAAACAGAGCAGGCCAACTTTTGAAGGTGATGCCTTTCCTTAGAAGAGATGCGGAAAGCCTCGCTATCAAAACTCCATCCAAAATAACTCTCTCTCCCTCCCTCCCTCCCTCCCTCCCTCGAAAATATGTGTATGTGCATTTCATTTTGGATTAGATAGCGATTGATCCAAGGAAAGTGCAATGTGGGGGGTAGGTAATGGTGCAGTGCAATCGCAACCTTTCGAAGAGCGACGGTCAATACCGATCACTCCTTTTGCCAAACCCACATTCTCTCCTGCTCCACTTTGCAGTAGGATCCAACTCATCCCTCTCTCTCTCTCTATCTCTGGGCACGCAACATTCACACGCCGAAAATAGAAAGTGCCTGCAAGAAGTTGAAGAATGGAAGAGTCACCTCCTGTAACATCATCGTCCATGCTCAACCGGTCAATTTCTTGTCGTTCCCATCCATCTCTTTTTACCAAAAAAAGTTCACATCCCCAATCTATTCTTGGTTTCCTAGTAACTAAAAGCCACAAGCAACTGTCTCTCGTTCTCGCTCTCGTTGCCGACTAACCAGATTGCCAGTCCTTGGTACAGTGTCCAAAATTCGGTCGGTTTCGCCATGGACCACTGCGAGTTTAGTGCTTCTCCTCCTAACCATATCTCTATCCATATCTACCGAGATGCGCCAGCAGAGTTGCTGATTGTGATGCTATCTATCACTCCATATATTTTGTTTTGAAAAGCCATAATGGTGCAAGTAAAAAGGGAATGCAAGGTCTTTTGGCGGTCCATTTGATCAAGACGCCTCTATCTTATGAATCCACGCATCGTTCAGAGAGGCTAATCATTTCAACCAAGACTAATGGGCACAACCCCGTCTTTCCTGTTCCAATCCATCTCACGCCCATCTCCACCTCGCTATCTAGCAAGTCAATCAATGGAGGAACGTGGGAGTCAACCCGAGCCGCATGGGCCGGGCTGGAAGTCGACTCAGACGAGTTTGTGTCTGCAGTGTAATTTGCAGCCTAGACCTTCCCACGAGGGACTGTCACCCGCTTGCAAGAATAAATGCAATTTGCTTCTGTATGAGGCATCGGATTCGACATTCATAGAGCATAGCGAAGGGGACGTTCGAGTTGAAATGACAATTGAATCAGCCCTTCATCTTCTCATTCATCATATAACGTCACTATCACGACTGACCAACGCAGGATTCAAGTGATCGAAGCCAACGAGCAAATGAAAATCAATCTCATTTGCTCCGCATTTTGGGGTAATCACATCGCAACCACCTAAAAATTTTATCTATTTTTCAATTAAGTTGATGTGGCGTTTTTGCCGACATGCTTAGGCGTCTAACGAGGTTAGTACCATTAGGGGTGTCCAAAGGAACTGGGAACCGCTCGGACCGCCTAGAACCGGCGGTTCCCATGGGGACCAGTCCGATTCCCGGTTCCAATTTACTAGAACTGGTGAGTACTGGTCCTGTTTTAGGCGTGAAACCGCCCACCCGCCCATCCGGACCGGTACTATATATATAATTTTTAAGAAAAATTTCCAACAAAAAAAACATAGAAAAAAATTTAAGAATAATGAAACCCTTAAAGTCCCTAATTTAAAGCTCAACGCTCATCAATTAAGGGATCGTCTCGTCTCACTCTCACCTTGTCTAAGTCATCTCTCTATCTCTTGTAGTCTCGACTCTAAAGCTCGATACCCATCGACTCACGGCCTAAACTCTCAACTCCCATCAACTCACGGCCACACCTCCAGCAGTTCATCGCCTCCATCTCTTGCTCTCAGTCACCTCTATTTGCATGAAGCTTGGTGGGACAAATTCTATGGACCCACTCGGAAATCGGACTGGACCGGCGGTCAGGTTTCCGGGCGATGAGGTTTCAGGGTGGATCCATGAAATCAATAGGCGTTTCCCGGTTCCCATTTTTCGGAACCGGTCCCTAGTGGGGGGTTCCCGGTTCCATGGTGGGAACTGCCCACTCAGACCATGCTCACCCTTAAGTACCAAATCTATAGGAGACCTTATATTGAACCAAATACGAGAAGTTGAGGTCCTTTATTAGCTAAAAACTTAATTGGATAATTGGTTATAAAATTGATAAAAGGGTACTGTTATTTTTAAAAGGGAAAATGACACGGTCTCTGAATTTTGGCTCAATGTGTAACGTGTTCCCTGAACTTTTAATTCGAATGTGGTCTCTAAACTTTTAATTTGTTTAATTTGGTCTCTGAACTTTTGGTACATGTTCAATATACTCCTTGAACTATATAAAAATGCTCAATGTTGTTCCCGAACTTGAATTAATGGAAGGAAAATATGGAACATTTTCATATAGATCAGGGATTAACTTAAACATGTACAAAAAATGTAAGATCACAATGAATAAATTAAAAGTTCAAAGTTAAAATTCAAGGGCCACATTGAACAAATTAAAAATTTAAGAGTCACATTGTATATTTGATCAAAATTCAGGGATTACTTAAGCCATTATTCCGTTCTAAAACTTTTTATTGATTCGCATTGGACGAGCCCGATCGCGGTAGAACGAGGCTTTTTGCTTTTCCCTTTTGTTTTTTGCCCTCTTTCCCCTTTTCTTTTTGGCCCACGAAGCAAAGGTAGGGAAATGAAGTAATAAAATAAAAAATAAAAAATAAAAGGAGAGGGTGGTGGGGCCCAGGAGATCTACGCAGACTGCAAGCTGTCGATCGATCCAACCTCATCTCGTGGACCCCTCTCTCTCTCGTGTGCATTTTGCACAACACGACATTCGTTTCTCTGTTGACCTACCAGCAGTTGCTAGACCGTCGGACACGTGGAACTCTCGTATGAGCAATGGGGGTAGGGGTGACCACGAGTCTAGGATAAAACCGGAAACCGGCGAACCGGATCCATGGATCCGGTTCGATTCTTAGTTCTAGAGAGGGAGGTTCCGATTCCCAGTTCCATTGTTTTAGGACCGCTGTTCCGGTTCGGTTCTCGGTTCCTATAAGAACCGGAACCAGAACCGGAATTGAGAACCGAAATTAGGAACCGGGATCGAGAACCGAGAATGGAACCGGGAACCGAGAATCCTAAATATAAAATTTCTAATTTTCTTACTACTTCTCATTTCTCACTTCTTAGCTCTCAAATTCTCATATCCGTTCGCATACTCATTACTTTGCTTAACTTGTTATGTAGAACATTTCCTAAGGTTTGTTTAGACCTTTGATTTATTGTGGTTTTGGGGTACCCACCATTCGCATGCTCATTGTTTTGCTTTACTTGTTATGTTTAGGTATTCATTGTCATGTATATATGCCAAGTTTTTGTTCTTTAGTGAGGTCGATTGTTTTCGTCATTCACTCTTTCAAGAAACATCTTAAGATTGATGGTTGCATAGTTAGAATCGTGGTGATAAAGAATGGTGGAAGGAGAAAAGAAAATTGTAGTTGTAGTTTTAGTTGCAAATAATCAATACGCGACATTTCAATTTTAAATTGAAAACTATTATTAAGTTATCAACTATGACTGTTATTTGTTTTGATTTTAGGTAGTTAGAATTTAAAACAAATTTTCATAGATGTTTGAGGACCCAAAGCTCATCTTTCTTTCCTTTTTCTTGCTTCCCATTTTGTTTGTGGTACTGGATATGGATATTGTCTTGATCGATATGCTAATCCCTCGTGAATTCTGTTGCGCATCAATTCACGCAATGACTGTTCATTTTAATTGTATTTATTTGAACCATAATATTGGGAAAACTAGTCTTTTGTATTCTCTTTATTGAATAATAAGCTTGCTCGGTATTATTGCGTTTATTTTCGTTTTGTTTAACTAAAAATGAACCCAAAAAATAAAAAAAGAACCTGTTGGATCCTGAAACCGACCCTAGAGCCTGTGACAGGATAGGTTCTAGGTTCCAGATTTCGATGGGTAGATTCCAGGTTTCAAAAAATAAAGAATCTGTACCCGAGGATAGGTTCTAGGTAGAATCTGTAAGGAATCCGGAACCGCTCAACCCTAAATAGGGGAAATGAGTTTGATCCACGAAGGAGAGAGATTGCGTTTGGTTTGGTTCGAGAAGGGCAAAGGGTTTTAGCCTACAAGACTTTGAAGGAATGTAATTTGTGTTCAATGAAAGATCTTTTGTAAAGCAACTTTAGATTAAGTGGTCTTTGGTAAAAACAAAATTTGCAAAGGGCTTTGATTGCGATTTAAAAAAAAAAAAAGATTTTAACCCTTCACTGGTTCCGATGGAGGGCTCAGGCCGCCAGCGATCGCTGATCGAGATCAACAAACCTCGGGTGACCCCCGACAAGGGTCACCTGGGCTCGCACGTTGTAGGCGATTATCTCCTGGGGCCACACGACCTCAGGGGGATCTCGCCGTGGTCACATGACCTCAGGCGACGATCGCGCCACCTTGCTGGCCCTTCGTCGGTCAGATCTAACCTTATTGACCCTCTCCGGCCGTCCTTGCGCAAATAAGATGAACAATAGCAACAAATAGCAAAATCCTAAAACTGAAGAATTTGTGAGGATAGTTTTGGAAGAAAAAAATCATTTCATCCATGTTTCAACATTCGAAAAATGCTAAAAGCTCAAAGCAAGTCCCACCTACCTTGAGCTTTTAGACTTCCCAATGCTGGCATTTTGGCCTAAAGCCCCTCGAAAATGATTGCCAAACACCCCAAATAATTACCTAATTTTAGTCTGCTAATTCAATCTTAAATTTTTCAATTTCGTTAACATAATCTTAAATTTTGGTGCGAAATTCTAATGTAGCCCTTCTGGCTAGTAGCTGCAAGGAATAATTGACGTGGCGTTCAACTAACGTCAACTGTCCTATATGGCACGTTGGCATGAACAACTTGTGGATTGCACGCGATCCTGCCAACAATTGGCTAGAAGGAAGGATTATATTAGAATTTTCGCGTCAAGGCATAAGACTACATTGACGAAGCTAAAACCTTTTGGACCGAATTGATATATATATAATAGGTTTATGACAAATTAAGTAATCTTCCCTAATTCATAGACTGTACAACTTCTTTTCTCCAGAAATAATACGGTACGAAATCGACTTAGACCAATTAGAAAGCCCGATTCCGGAACTCCAGCTCGAATCGATTTCATTCATGTCTTTTTCCTGAAACCAGCTATGCTCAACCTATGAAGGTCCAGTGTGAATGAAAAACTTTGTTGCTATGCTCCACAAAGAAGGGAGAATAAAAGAAAAAAGAGAGAACTTTGTACTATACACACGTCACGAATTTGGAAAAAGATTGGATCCAAATTCCACAATGAGCGGTCCATAGTCGAAAGGTCCCAAATTATAAAACTACAAAACAGTGGCCTCCACTTTTAAAAGCTCATTGCTCTTTGTCGGTAAATCCCAAGGGGGGCAATCCTAGGCGCGTGGACTTTTCCTTGCCTCAGCAGCATCTCCCTTAGTCCCAAGCCACAATGTCTCAAATTTCTTCTTTCTTTTCTTTCTTTGTTTTTCGTATTGTCTGAAAACCGCCCTTTGACATTGCCCAAAAGTCAACCCCAAAACCACCTCTGGTTTTTCCCAAGTGCCCCACTAGCGCCCAAAAAGAAAGGACAGCACAAACGATAAGGCGTTTTAGATGCCATCTCCCATCTATCTCTAGCCCATCTATATCTGCCCTGAAAAAGTCAGCGCCTTGTTCATTTCCTCTCTCTCTCTCTCTCTCTCTCTCTCTCTCTCTCTCTTCCAGCAGTGGTTGCGGAATCCACAAAGCTTGTTGTTATGGAGGAAGACTGGGATCTACATGCGGTGGTCAGAGGCTTCGCCGCCTCCTCCTCCTCCTCCTCTGCCGCCGCCTCCGCTGCCGCCATGGCTACAACGTCAGCAGATCTTGCACCCCATGTTCCCGTGTCTTGCTCCTCCTTTGGAGCGGTCAAGAAAGATGAGGGCTTTGTCTCTCCACCATATCCCTATGATGAAAGACGCAGCTCGCTTGAGGAGTTGCATGAACTCTACAAGCCCTTCTTCCCCAAGCCCGAGCCTCTCGTCTTTCAAGACGCTGCTGCTTCTGCTCTTCCTTCTTTCGGAGGAGTGAGCGGTCAACCCACGTTTAGACAACAACCTACTCCTGCTAATAATAATGGTTCTGCACCTGCCTCCTCTACTGGTTCCTGCATGACGAGCACCCCGTCTCCAGGTTCTCGCTCCAAAAGAAGGTAACTTCGAAGGAATCCCACCATTATGGTGATTACCCTTTTTTCACAGGTCAAACTTGCACCGTGTTGAATTGGTCTCTCACACTTACTGTGTCTACACAAGCAGGAAGAGCCAGCTCAAGAAGGTTTGCCACGTTCCAGCAGAGAGTCTGTCTTCTGATATCTGGGCTTGGCGTAAATATGGCCAAAAACCGATCAAGGGCTCTCCATATCCAAGGTAAATTCCCTAAGTTAGATCCCCAATATCTGATTTTACCTTCTGAAGTTCTTAATTTTTTTATATGGATATAAAGATGGTGCAGTCACTTGTGCTTAGTCTTGGTTTACGCTCTGTGACACAGGGGATACTACAGATGCAGTAGCTCGAAGGGGTGTATGGCCCGGAAGCAAGTGGAGAGGAACAGATCCGACCCTGGAATGTTCATAGTCACGTACACGGCGGAACACAACCACCCCGCACCTACCCACCGCAACTCGCTCGCAGGTTCCACGCGTCAAAAGCCCGTGATGCCGCAGACGGACACTGTCGGAGATCCCAGCGCTGCTGCCTCATCAAAACCTCCTTGCTCTTCTCCAACTGCCTCCGTAGAGGATGAGGTGGCAAGAACTCACAGCACAAACACTGAAAGCAGAGAAGAAAAAGAGGGTAGCATGGCTGATGATGAAGAGGATGGGGAAGATGGGCTATCTGATATGGCTCTGAGTGATGATTTATCCGTGGGTTTGGAGGGATTGATGGGAGGTGGTGATGATGAGGATTGTTTCTTGGATCGTTTTCCCGCGAACTTTGGCCATTCTTGGACAGCTGACAGCACGGCAACCGCCACCGGGGGTAGCTGACCCAACTAGTCGAGCATATTGTTTTGCGGTTGAGTTGTAATTTTCTGGAATACGTACAATTTTCATCTTCTTTTCAGAACTGAATCAAGGGTGTAACAGTTAGCATCCCCGTGCCGCTAAGCTTTATATATGTGTAATTTTTCATCAATTTGTATAAAGATTTCACTAGGCAGGCGGTGAGAAGGAAATGCTGCTCATCTCTGTATTACAATCCGTTGTCATTTGCACTTCAGTTGTAGCGCAATTAGAAACGAATAGATCGGGTGTAAGAATGACAAATACGATACTTCAGCTCTTCTTTTTCTGGTTCTTTTGTTTCTAATTGATATCCAAGAATTTTAATTGATTCACAGGTTATACCCGCAATCTCAATCTCCTCAAAGACATGTCCGACGGTGGTTAACCTTCCGTCCTATATGCTAGACGATATTCCTCCCGCCTCCCACCAGTAATCTACACTACCGGCAATACTTCTCCCCCCCGTAATCTATACTACTGACAATATTCAGCTTACATTGAAGTATTTAGCAACCACAGCACATTTTTAACCCAACTAAGTACATAATAAGTCCATATAGATCACTTCAAATGTTTACAAAGTAAAGAGAATTCATACTTTGGCCCCAAAAAAGAGAGCATTCATACATATTGAAAGCCAAATGATATAGTAACTTAGCATCATATGGACTATATAAGTCAGAAGAGAAGCAAAAGCTTCACCTATCTACCACATTCCACAAGATCATCAACAGAATTTCTCTCTTATTACAGGTACAACTTATCTTGCAAATTGTAGCACGTGAAGAGAAAAATTGGACAAAACTTAGCAATAAAGATTCCAGTATGATCACGGCGCATCTAACTTCTTCAATTATCTCAAAATAAGGACTGTGGAATCTGATGGAAGATGAAGAAAATATTTCATAAGTATGAGGCCTTTGAGGCATCTCTTGGGTAACCTAACGGACACTTTTTAAGTCCAAAAGACCATACACTCCTTGGACTCTGAATGAGTGCCTGCTTTCTCCTGAATACGGCCTACTGATCAGTAGAAGAAAACGCACAAGAATCCTATCTTTCCCTTGCTAAATCTACTTTAGGCAGTGCAAGCTGAAACTTCATAGCCCTGGACAAAGTTCTTCAGTTTCCCTACTTCACCCACGGCTGAAAGCCATTCTGTTAGAATCTCCATCGTTACATAATCAGGTTTACAAGCATGTTCATTCATTCTATCCATCATTTCAAATGCCTTCTTCAGCCAATTCGTTTGACGAAGGCCTCTGAACAATGCGTTAAATGTAGTGGTACTCGGCCTCACCCCTTTTTCCATCATATCGTCCATTAAGGAACAGGCACCATCCACTTTGTCATTCCTGCATAGACATTCTATGAGAATGTTGTATATCACTGTGTTGGGTGGGATCTTCGACACACAATTCATGTCCCTGAAAATTTTCATGGCTTCCCCAACATTGTTTTTCAGGCAGTATCCATGAATCAGTGCACCATATGATACAACAGTGGGAACGAGACCCTGTTCAATCATCTGTCTCATCAACTTATTTGCAGTTGTAAGATTTCCAGTTTTCCCAAAATAGGATAACAAACAATTATAAGTGACAGTATCAGGCTTTACTCCAGAGCTCTCCATTTCTTTGAGCATCTCATAAGCCTCCTCCAATCTATTTTTCCTGCAGAAACCACCAATCAGATTATTGTAGCACACAACATCAAGTGAGAACCTGGCTGCCTTCAACTCTGTTGCAACAGAACTGGCATCATCCATTCTTCCAGCATTGCACAATCCAGAGATCAGTGTGTAGTAAGCAATTGAATCTGGGGAACATCCAGATCTAGACAGTTCCTGGAACAACTCCATGGCTTTCTCAAAATTGTTGACATTGCAAAAAGCCTTGATCAGTGATGTATACGTTCTAACATTAGGACTCAAACCTCTTACTTTCATTTCTTTAAGGAACTCAACCGCGCGATTGACTCTCCCAAACTTGCACATACCATCAACCAAAATATTAACAGTGACTACATTTGGCTGCACCCCTTGTTCACTCATCTGATCAAATAGCTGACGAGCCTTATCGATCTCACAGCATTTACAGTACCCATCGATCAAGCAGTTGTAAGTAATGACATTAGGCATGCAACCACCCTGCAATGTCATCTTTCTTAGTAGTTCTGCTCCTTCATCTAGCCTTCCTACTTTACACAGTCCATCAATAAGACAATTATAAATGACTGTATCAGGTTTACACGACAATTCATCGTCTTGTTTGGTGCAGACCCTCTCAAACACCTCCAATGCATCATCAACTCTGCGAAACTTACACAAATGGTTAATCAGTATTCCGAAGGTCACAATGTCGGGTGGAATATTGATTTCTTTCATCTTAATCATAACCTCATTCATCCTCTTGAAGTCGAGATGCTTCCCCAACTCAACCAAAATAACATTGCAGGGCGCGGCTTCGACAGGTCCACCTGATTGAATAACTTGCAGCACAAGAGCCCATGCTCTTCCAATCTCCCCATTCCTACAGAGCTTCTTAATTATCTTCAAAAGTGTTATCGAGTCAGGAAAAACACCGAGTTCGAGAAGCTTCATGAAAATCCCAACAATCTCATCCTCATTGCCACCCCCATCTCCTTGCAGTCTCCTCAACAAGGCCGAGAAAAATATCTTACCCGGAATGTCCGAGGCGGCAAATCTCGAACGTGGCTCGAGCATTTCGTCGAGCACCTTCAACGCACCCTCGAACCTCCCGTATCTAACTAGCGCACCGACATACAATTCATAGAGGTGCCTATCTCTCGCATTTATGTCAATACCATCAAACACAGAAACCGCCTCATCAACCATGCCAGCCCTCCCAAAGAAGCTAACCAGGAGGGTCGACGCATTGATAGTCAAAGGAATGCCCCTCTGCCTCGACATCTTATAGAGCTCAAGCAGGGCCTTCTCCCAACCGGGTTCTCGGCTCGCTAACTTGACGACGGACTGGAACGTGCGAGAGAGGAGAACCGGCGCATCTTCCTGTGGAGAACTCGACTGAACGAAATCGAGAAACTTGAGGGCTTTGTCGGAGGCACCCAAGCCGAGGGTGATCTTGGCCAAGTGTGCAGGGGCGGCAGGAGAACTGGAGAAGAGGAGTCGGCTGAGATCGGCGGTGTTCCATGAGCTCTCGGGGGCTTGAAGGAGGTCGAGCGCTTGGGTGACTATTGGGTCGTCGTCCTGGGGTTGGTGCGGCGGTTCTGGTTCAGGCTCTGCTTCAGGGTCATGGTCCGTGGAGAAGGAACGGAGGAAAGGTGAGAGATTGAGGGCGGGGTTCAAGCGGGGTTTAAGGGAATGGAGCACGGGTTTCGATCGCGCTGAAGCGGATCGCAGCAGGCTCATCCCGGCGTTGGAGAGAGAGTGAGAAGGTGAAGGGAGGGAAAGGTGTTTGACGAAATGCGGTCGAAGAAGTTGCTCTAGCTGGCCACACTGAGGCATGATCGTGGGCTATCAGGTTTATGCACGAGTCGTGACCCATCGAGTGATCATGGGTCGTGGCCCAATACACAGTTGAACTGCATTTGGATTCCCGGGTATCAGGTCCATTCAGGGGCGGTAAATTGGCCTGAATAAACTATAAATAGGTGCTTACTACCAGCGATGAACATTCCGTAGCGGGGGGTGAGCGATTCCTATGTTAATTCCCAGATGGGATAATAGCGTTGCTCGTCTCTCCTCACCATTTCTACCTGTCAAAAGACCCAAAAAAAAAAAAGAAGAAGAAGAAAGACGAAAAAAAAATTGTTTATCGTTGTGCTTTTGGGGAAAAGTTGAATTAATGCTGAAGCATTTACAACGCAAAACAAGTTTGGAGGAAAAAAGTTGGTACTTTGCATATACACCGTAAAAAAAGAGTTGGTAATTTCATAAAAGTGCCGATAAGTTACCAACAAATTACTGAGAAATCAAGTGATCATTAACTTTTTGTTATTGACATTTTCCACACTTATCAATTATTTCACAAATTTACCAACATGAAAAAAGAATACATATTTTTGGGGATAATTATCCAAAAGCCTATTGTGCGGCAGTTAATTTAGACCTAAATCTTTTAATTGTGTCAATTTAGTCATAAACATATTGATGATTTGCCATTTTTTTTTTGATAATTTGCCAATTTAGTCTTAAACATTTTGATGATTTGTCAATTTAGTCATTCCAGCAAATTTTGGCCGGAAATCGCTGACGTGGACACCAGCCAGCTACTAGTCATTTTACATGGCGTGACCAGTGTTGACGTGGATGCTTTTTGCATTTTAAAAAAATTTCCTTTCTTTTTTTTTTTTCCTTTTCTTTCCCTTTGGCTCGTGGCCAGTACTCGGCCATGGCTGGCCGAGTACTGGCCATAGGTGAGGGTCACGACATGCTCGCCGACCATGGCTGAATATCGGCCATAGGCCAAAGGGAAAGAAAAGGAAAAAATGGAACAAAAAATTTAAAAAAAATGAAAAAATTATCCATGTCAGTATCGGCCGCGCCTCGTAGGATGGTTGGCGGCCAGCCGGCATTTACATTAGCGATTTTTTGCTGAAAAGATTAAATTGGGAAGTTGTCAAAAGATTTAGGACTAAATTGAAAATTTATCAAAATGTTTAAGACTAAATTGGTATAATTAAAGGGATTATGACTGAATTGGCCGCCGTATAATAGGTTTAAGACTTTTTGGACAAATTTTCCCATATTTTTTTTAGAACTGCAAGTAGAATCGTGGGCCAGTTCCTACAGTGGGGAACTAAATGAGCTAATTACATTACACATCAACTTAAAATAGACGATTATATAATAAGAGTTCGTTTTACAATTCAAATTTGATCAGTTATCATCAACTGAAGTTGTCTGAGTCGGGGTTAAAGAGAGGATGTTCCCTTAATGACATACATGTGCATGTACAATTTCCCTTTTTCCAAAAGAAAAGGCCTAGTTAGCATCGAGGAAGCAAGGCGGTAATTACCCCTTTGCCCCTCCACCGGTTGGTAAGCAAATGGCAAATGTTTATTTCCGAGCCTCGAAGTCGTGTGAAACACTCTCTCGAAACGTCCTACGTTCACCTCAAGGGCACTACATGCTTATGTTCTCGGTGTTTGTTTATCTTCTTCTTCTTTTTTCCTAAACCAAGGTTATGGACCGATCAAAAATCTACCCCCAGATGCATGTTGAATACATGCATTGACGATATCGACTCAATAAGGGCTCCTGAGTACGTCTTTCTTCCATGCACGTAAAAGCGTCGGTTGGTTGAACAGAAGTTAGGTTGTTAGTTGGGCTCTTTCACCTCTTCTATCAATACGCTGCGTCTCAAAGAGATTGTACTCTCTCTCTCTCTCTCTCGCTCAATGAAGTTTTATGTATGTATGGGGTCGGTCCAACCTCTTTTCACCTTCCTCTGACCTTTCCAGCCTTTAAAAGTATCTCCCCACACAAGCATTCAAAGCTTCCCCCCTCTGTCAAACATTCTACATCGTGGAGCCCTTCAATGGACAGCCAAGATGGCACTCCACCACCGCCTCCGGTATTGCCGCCACCTCCTGCCAGTCCCTACCTCTTTGCGTTGCCGACACCATCGTCGCTCCTGTCCTCCTCGTTGTCGCACCCACTAATAGACACCTCGGCCTCAGCTCAAGCGTTGGCTCTTCCTTCATCTTCGTCTTCTTCGGATATCGATTGGGTTGGCCTCTTATCCGGCCAGCTCAGTGGGCTTCACGAGAATAAGTCGATGACGTCGATGGAAAACGCGCTGATGACTACGATGTTGCCTGGACATGGAGGAGTAGAAGACAGGAGCGAAGGGCAGGTTAAGAAGAAAGTGATGAATAGGACAAGGAGGCCAGCGCGGCCTAGGATTGCGTTCCAAACAAGGAGCGCGGATGATATTCTGGACGACGGGTATCGCTGGAGGAAGTATGGACAGAAAGCCGTCAAGAACAGTGTTCATCCCAGGTATATTTTTGCATGTTTAAGGATCATATGCATGGAATTCAGCAAATGATTCACCAATAAGTATACGTCTTTGGAGTTTTAGCAACATATAAGAATCCTACAATTAAACTGGATTATTTTGGTAATTGAGGCTCTTGACTAAATGAGAAGTTCTCTCTTTGATCAATTCTCTCCATCCACCAATTATCGATGCCGTCCACTGTGCGATAGAACGAAATAATTTAGTTTATCATTATTATTGGAAACAGGAACAAAGTCGATTCATTAAAATGACCGAGGTTAGAACATTGCACCTAGCTATATATATGTATCTTTTGGTATCTGCGTGATTTGGTGGAATGAAGTTGAAGAAAGGAGTTGCAATGACTTTTGGAATAAGGTAAACTAAAGAATCAAGGAGGAAGTCTCTCAGTATTTTGCAAAGAGATGTACTTAGGGATTTACGACATTCTCAAGATTTCATGCAAACTGATTAATCATGGACATGCATGGCCACAACTTTTGGGTGGTAGCTACTTAAGAAGATGAAATATTATATGATCAGGATTTGGTTGATGCCCAAGATGGTGAGCTTGCATGAATTGGAAGAAAAGAGAGGTCCAGGGCTGCTTCAAGAAATCACCATTGGAAAATCTTACGAACAATCAAAAGGGAGATGGAGATTATCTTCCCTTAGTGCCTTGACAAATCTTAATAGCGGACGCATGGCAAGTGTGAAGTTTCTTAATTAACGATCTTAATAGGAATCGATGCATGGTTCGGTAGATTAAGGCATCAATTAGGAGTATATAATGGGATAGAGGATCTCCATCTTTGAATGAGGAAACTAAGATAAGCAAAGCCATGAAGGCGAGAAGAAAGAGATTTAGAATGAATCTAATTCTGTGGATTAAACTCTATGACAAAAGCGATGGCAAAATAACAAAAATTTATGTTCCCAAACCCCCTAAATATTAAGTTAATTAGAAAATAACGATAAATTAACAAAATTTTAAACTTAAAAATGGCAACATTAACTGGAAATTAATTGAGGATGAAAAATAATTCATGTCTGAAAAAAATTAGGGCAAAGTGTTCGAGATGATCGAAAATTTATACATGGATCCAAGTATATGTATTCAATATTTAGCCCTGATATTTTCAACTACAAATTGGACAAAGTTCATGCTTGCTTTTACGAATAAACCACATATTTCATACATTTTGATCCTTTCATTTTTCAATGTATACTCATTTCAAAAAAAGAAAAACTAAACCTAGCTAGAGAAGGATTTTGGACTCAAACTTTTACCTAAAATTTCATTCAATTGTTAAGGCAAGTTTTTATGATCCATTTTCCAAATATTGAATAGAACCGCAAGTTAAAAATAGTAGAGATAATTAGAATGTGATTCCTCAAATTTCTCACACATTGTAGTGATTAATGTGAAATTCAAATGCTTTTTTTTTTCCGAAATAGATAATATCATCCAATATTATTTGTTTCTTTACTTATTTAGAACTTTTATTATTATTTTTTCTTCACAGGGAATGTCTACGTGCTCTTTTGCTAGTAAATGAGTGAATTTATATATATTGTGCCTTCAGCATAACAATTGTGTGAATAAACTACAAATATTATAAGGAAAACAAAGCTCATTGTGAAATAAAGGGAAAACGTTATGGTTCGGGTAATGTCGTGGCTATGCTGATAACGTTGTGGTATATTTCAGGAACTATATAGAACATAGCATGAATTGTATCATTTAATGGACCTAAATATAAGCATATAAGTAGCTATTGCACACAAAAAAACCTAATTTCAAAAACAATTCTCTTGAACCCTCTAGCTTGCGCAACTCTAGAGCACTTGCTTGAGAGAGAGAGAGAGAGAGAGAGAGAGAGAGAGAGAGAGAGAGAGAGAGAGAGAGAGAGAGAGAGAGAGAGAGAGAGAGAGAGAGAGAGAGATTGTCGATTAATAGATTACAACTTGCGCCTAGGTACATTTCACAAAATTCCATCTTACTCGTCTTAATTAGGTCTACAAATCGACTGAATATTGTCACAATTAATCTCCAAAAGTTTTCATGTAAATATGACTTATACCTAATATATAGGCACATGTTGAACCATCTAGTCGAACCCTTAAGCAATTCATAATGTACACACAGCCACTATCTACGACAAAAGAAAGATATGGATCATCAGTACACTAATCTAGCTCTTTTATATCTCTATAAAGAAAGGTATTGCATGCATGCATTGATATATACTCTTGGCAATATGATCTTAACTGACCAACTCTTACTTGCATCCTTAATACGTGGGATCGGACGAGAAGGAGCTATTATCGGTGCACGCATCACACATGCAATGTGAAGAAGCAGGTCCAGAGGCTAGCCAAGGACACGAGCATCGTGGTCACGACGTACGAAGGCATCCATAACCATCCCTGTGAAAAGCTAATGGAAACCCTAACTCCTCTCCTCAAGCAAATGCAGTTCCTGGCCAGATTCTAGCTTAGCCATCAAACTTGAAGATCACCTAACTATGTCGAAAACTTAAAGCACTTTGGTATCATCCGATAGATTATTCTTCTTGGGGTTCTATAGTGTATAGAACTAACCAAATCCCTATACAAATACTGGCGTATGTCAATGGCAAACTTCCTGTACATGGACAGCTCAACGATAGCATCGCTATACGTACATTGCATTTCTTCTGCAAGAGATTGCATTTGTTTCAATGAATGTGCTACGTTATACATATTTTTTTTTTCTGGCGTAGGCGCATGTGTTACACACATATGTTTTTCTAAAGTCATGTTGAGTGTGTTTATCGACTCATTATCGCTTGATGGGGACATCACAAATATTCTTGAAATTTTGAAAAATCTTTTTCCCCGGTTGTCATATATGTAACCTATAATATCAGAGTTGAAGATTCGGTGTAGATTAATTACATAACTTAATTAATCTCTCTTTACATCATTTCAGCTAGTGAGCTTAATCTAAATCTCTACCGTAATTTTCTCGTATTTTATAAAAACATAAACGTGAGAGTTAGGTCAATGGTTTCCCATGGGAGGAGGTCAATTCAGATTATAGGGAAGCCCACAAGCCAAATCAATTTTAGTTTCACGGGCATTGATTATGAACGCCATCCTCTTGTTGACTTTCGAAGGCAAAGTTAGTTGGTGGTTGGTGATAGGTAATCCCCGAAGTCATTATACTGATCATGAAGAAACCCACCTGCTATATTACGCAATTATGATTTACATTATGATCTAATATCTGGAATTTATCGACCTACGAATGAAATACTTTTTCCTAGAAGATATCAAGCAGTCCAAATTAATGTAATCGAGAGTCAGCTCCATACACTCATGTTCAATTAGATGGTGAGAAGTTTTTTTGAGCACATCAAACTTCTTTGTTGCATCAACTAGGCTTAGAGATGCGAAAAGCAACACGACTTTTAAATTTGACAAATGGGGTTGGTTTACCACCGCTGCTGACAAATAATCTTCCTTAGGCTGCACTAGCATATTGTGATAACTAAAGAGAGGCGATTCATCGACACGGCTATGAGAAAAAAAAACATGATTTTAGATCGATCATAGATGGAGAAGAATGTTGATGAAGATTAATAGGTGAACTAGAATATTGAAATATCGAACCACGCTTTCATATGACAATTTAAATATTTTAAACAATTGGCGGTGGTCCCATAAAAATTTCACACGGTATTAGCAGCAGTGGTCCCACAACACAAGATGCTAGGTAGCTAGTATGTGGAATTATTATAGGAGATAGAGATCTAGCTATAAGAGATAATTTATAATCATGTTAGACACTACTCTTGTTCTTTTTCTTCTTCTTTGTTCATATTATTCAAATCTTCCATAGGATGAGTTAGCTTAAGATTATTAATTACTTATTATGTCACCATTTTATCTATTAATGTCTGATAATTAAGGGGCCCCACATTGCGTGGACACGTGGGACTGTGACTATTTAGAGCACTAACCGAAAAGAATGATATAGGAATTTGACCGTAGGCGATTTGTCCGACCTTTTAGGTTCCGTTTATTTAGTAAAAATTAAATGATTTAAAATATTTTTTTAAAAATAATCGCTTATATTTCTTACAAAAATGAATGACAAAAAATATTTTCATTATCAGTGAAAATGTTTACACATAGTTGTCGATAATGAAAATATTTACCATTGACTTAATTATTTTAAGCGATGCTGATGATTATTTCAAGAAAAATATTTTTTTCAATCATTTAGTTTTTGCGAAATAGACGGAATCTTATTGTACCACCCTTTTCTTGTGGCTCGAAACTCTTGTTCAGGTTATATGTAGGTTTAGACATGATCGTTGTAGCAAAAATTTGCTGAGATCAAAGTCCACAAGGACCTACTTGCATTAAAGAAAGATTAGGTGTGATCATATTAGATTGTGTCTCCAATCTCCTGAAGCACTATTCTTGTTCTTGTGGGGAAATTTTCACCCCATCAATCTTGATTTGGCTCTTCTCCAGATGTGGGCAGACCCTGGTGCCTCCTTTTTGGTCGGAAATAAAAATACTCATTATCATTTGTTTATTTCACAAAAGATAAATGATTTTAAAAATATTTTTCTAAAAATATCGCTTCTATGCTTATAAAAAATGAATGAACCAAAAATATTTTCATCGGTTTAGACATAATGAAAATATTGTTCATTGGCTAATTATTTCAGGCGAAGCAAACGATCATTTTCATGAAAATAATTTTTAAATCATCAATTTTTTGTGAAACAAATAGAGCCTCCATGTCGTCCTCAGTGGCTTGCAGAGTGATAAGGTCGACCCAATGGCCAAAGCTGCGTGGACACTCGGGAATGTGTCTATTCAGACCTTCAATAAAGACATCATTTGAAAGGCAAAAAGACAGAGCTACAAATTAAGCCAGAATTGACCAAACTTAACTTCTCCAGCCATCTGATCATGACTCCAATGAAATGCAATGTAATTGCGAAGACAACAATGTTTGGCAATGATGCAATACAAAGGAGACTAAATGCTGAAAATATTGAACTATCTAAATCACCAAAATGTATAGAGAGATGAGGCCCAAAAGTCAAGATTCAACAGCTTGAAAATCTTGGCTAAAGCAACCGGAAGGCCTAAATTATAATGATGCCAAAATATCTTTCGGGAAAATCACTCGCAACCCACTCCCAACTTCCCACTTATAAATGTGAATCATGCACTCGACTGAAGATTCCATCGCGGGTTCGCCATACATTTCCTCTGTAACCTCTGGAGTTTGCTGGGTTTTCTCCTTCTAAATTCTGAGCCATGGTTGAGAGAGATCAAGTTTGGCCGCTAGCCCCGTCCGGTAGCCTCCGGAGCGACCAGGATGAAGCATCCGTGTATGCCAAGAACGTCCGGAAGCAGAGATTCGTCAAGTGCTGCGGTTGCGTCACCGCCCTCATGCTCATCCAAGGCGTGGTCATCGTAATCCTGGCGTTCACGGTGTTCCGGGTGAAGGACCCCGTGATCAAGATGAACGGAGTCACCATCACCAGGCTCGAGCTCATCAACGGGACGATCCCCAAGCCAGGGGTCAACATGTCGCTGATAGCGGACGTCTCCGTGAAGAACCCGAACGTGGGGTCCTTCAAGTACAGCAACACCACGACGACCCTGTACTACCACGGCTCGGTGGTGGGCGAGGCGCGGGGTCCGCCGGGCAAGTCGAGGGCCAGGAGGACGATGCGGATGAACATCTCGGTGGACATCATCACCGACACGCTCCTGTCGAACCCGAACCTGAACGCGGACATGAACATGGGGCTGCTGCCGCTGAGCAGCTACTCGCGAGTCCCGGGGCGGGTGAACATGCTCAACATCTTCAAGAAGCACGTCACCGTGAAGATGAACTGCACCATGGCCGTGAACATCTCTACCAAGGCGATTCAGGAGCAGAAGTGCAAGAGGCACGTCAATCTCTAGAAGACGTAATCAATCGCTTTCTAATCTAGCTTGTGCATTGCATAGCGATAGCATACTCGGTTGTGTAGCTAGATATTTTCCACTTCTACCTGGCTAGAGGTAGAGATTATTATACCTTTTTTTTCCATTTTTATATAAATTTCTATTACTGAGCTTTAACATCTCTCTCTTTTATTTTAAATTTTGCGGCATACAAATTCAGTGTTTTTGAGTTTTGGCAAGGTGGGCATGCAGGTGTAATTAAAAGACTGGTCTATTTATTTTCACGTGGGACCAGTAATTAGTCCATTCATACGTGGGTTGACTTAAAAAGTCAATGGCGGAAATATGACGTTGCCAATTGTAAATGTGAACTGAAGCGGAGAAGTCAGGAAAGGCAGGCAAGGTGCCTCGCGGGTCCGGATTGTCAGGAAGAAATATGTGTGGGACTTTTCTAGAAGAAAAGTAAGTTTGGTGCACTATGAAAAGACTGATTCCTTTTCTCTAATTAAAAGCGACGTGGCAATGAATTTACTTTATAAAAATCGTATTAAACATATAACGAGAGGTTTAGTAGGAATTATTGAAAATTGACTTATACCCTCTCGACAAATTAGTGACTGAATACGGGACATCCATTTAATTTCATCGAAAATCAACTTAGAAATTGATTTCGTAATGTTCCAACGGAATGAATTAGAAAAAAAAGCACAAACGGTTCATAAACTTTGACCTAATGTGGCCCATGAACTTTTAATTTATTTAGTGTGATTCTTGAACTCTAACCCAATATACAGTGTGTTCCTTAAAATTTTAATTTGTTTAATATCGTTCATAAACTTTTAATTTGTTTAATGTAATTCATGAACTTTAGCCTCCTGAACTTTTAATTTATTCAATGTCGTCCATGAACTTTTGATACATGTTCATTGTAGTCTATATTGAATATGTATCAAAAGTCTAGATACCTCATTGAACAAATTAAAAGTTCATGGATCATATTGAACATTAGGTTAAAGTTCAAGGACCACATTACACGTTGAGTTAAAGTTCAGAGACAGTTTGTGTCATTATCCCAATAAATTAACTTCGTAATGCCATCTATAAATAATGAGCTCGCTTCTAATGCCGAGTGCAAATGAGTAATGACTGATCAACTTTTCTCTGTTCCCGACCCGGTGGCTTCGGGAGTTTTGCTCTTGAAACCCGACTCGTGGTTCGGGGCTCGAGGTACGGGGGATTCCATGACGGTAGAGAGGGAAGAGAGAGCAGTGATCTGGGCTGGGCCGGGTAGGCCCATATCTATCCAAAAGCCCGCATCCGGATCCATATTCTAATAAAGCTGCTGCTGCTGCTGCTAAACCATGTTTGATCAAATTACATGCTAATCTCATCCAACGGCTGAGATGAGTCGGACGCAAGCCTCTCGCCGTGAGCCTGTACTGCTATATAAGGAGCTACTTCGGCCACCAAATTGCTAGGGTTTTGCGTTCGTCGGCGGCGCGATTGTCTTCGTCTTCATCAGCAGCTATGCTGCTCAACCCAGGTTGCTCGATTATTAATCTTCTTCCTCGTAGTCTTCGTTTCAATTTTATGGATGCTATGAAGAGAGATCGCTGAACGAAGATGAGTGATCGGGGAAATGGTTCGGCGAATCAGATCCTCGAGATGATCCTCTCCCTTCTGGTTCGTATTCGCTGAGCATCGTCCATCTTCCTCTGATTCTCTGCACTCGCTTGTGATTCTGTCGGTCTCTGTGAGATCTCACCCGAAGGACCTATGGAGGGAGCGATATCGGAAGACGTGCGCTCTTCTCCAAGTTTGCCTTCGAACAGCGAAACCTGGAAAAAACGGACGGTCGAGCTGCCAACTCCTTCGTTAATGGCGGTTTCGGCTTTGTTCTTCTCAAGTCCGGTCTTCGTACATTCGGTCTTTCGTTTTGAGGGAGATTTGAGCAGAGTTGAGTTTGTGTAGAGCGAAGGTCCCAGCGGAGAGGCGGGAGCTCTGTGAATGAGGCCTCTCTAACGATCGAATAGACATCTCCTTCGCAAAATTGATCCGCCGAATCGTAGGATGCCTGAAATTCTCACCATTTTCGGAGCATCTTGAACCCTCGGCCACATTCACGTCTTCCATTGGAGTTTGAATTGGTTCTTCTGCTCTTCGCTGCTCGAATTGCTTCTTCCTCTTCGAGAATGGAGAATGCCAGGATTGTGATCGTGTAGATAACCGTAATTCTAAGTCATTTTCTAAATTAACTATTAATTCCTTATAAAAAGAAGTTAATGTCACTACAGAAAATTAAATATTTTTGCTTTCCAATTTGAAAACTTACTCATTGCATTTAATCAATATTGTATTTGAGATTTACTTCGTGTGTGAAATTAGTGACAATATAAAGAAGTCGCTAATTTTTTTTATGAAGTTAAAAATTATTTGTCATTATGATAGGTTATTGATTATCAAAAAAGAAAAAATTGCTAATAAGAAATAAAAATTTGGCGATTGCGGTGAAAACTTGCTTAGTATATTTGGTACTTACTTTTTGGTGTGAGAGGTTCTTAATCACGTGAAATATGTTTAGAGTTTTTATAATTACTCATTGTAGTTATCGGTATGATTAAATTACGGTCAGTATAAGAGGAGTGTGAAAACAATGTACTTCCTCTTCAAGCTGCCTCTTGATTCATTCTGCAGAGCCCGCTCTCTCTCTCTCTTCCAAAACTTGATTTCTGGGGAAGAACTTCCATACATTTGGATTTAGGTTGCGTTTGGTTCAGCATTCCCAAGTCGAAAGCCCCTTAGGGAAGTGAGGCGTTTGGCAAGCATTTTCATTTAGCTTTCGACCGAAAACCAGCATTGGGAATGCCGAAAGATCAAGGCTTATTCGGATCAGTTTTGAGCTTTTAACATTTGTCTAATGCCGAAATCAATTTTTTTTCTTCCAAAACTATTCTCACTAATTTTCAATATTCCAATTTTGCCCCTCATGACTGTTCATTTTCTTTGGGCTGAGGGTGGCAGGCAAGGGTGATTGGCTAGAGCCGTCCGAGGCCAGATCGGGAAGGCGAAGCGCCGGGGAGGTCGCGCGACCCCGGCGAGAGCCGCTTGGGTTGCGCGATGGCCTACGGCCGCCGACGAGCTAGATTTAGCGCCGACGGCCGTTGCCCATCGTTTCTCCAGTGAAGGGTAAGTTTTTTTTTAATTATAAGAAATTCCAAAATCTTTTGCAAAATAAGATTTGCCAAACACTTACCAAACGCAATTTACATTTTCCCAAAACCCTCTCTTTCATTCTTAATTCTTTAATTCGAAATGACTTTAATTCCAAATGAATCAAATCTCCCCAAGTAGGATTCAAACCTACAACCAGTCAGTTAACAGCCGAACGGGGATTAGATCTCATAGAGTTCAATTCTCATTCTCAACTCATACCCGAACCAAACATGAATCTTTCAATTCATTTGGCTCTCACGCTCAATTACTTATGTTAAATTCCCATATCTTTTTTTTTGAATGTAATGAGCCTGTCCTCTCTTCCCTATTCATATTCCCCCATAAAGATATCAAAATTGATCACTAATCCAAGATCAAAAGAATATTTGGAGGACTCTTCTGACCAAACAAAAAATATGGAATTGTCAGCAAAGTATGTTTCTTTTTTCGTTTAACCAAACGCACCTTTAGAGTTTTGCAGTGTGAAACCTGTGTATCAAATCCTCTATGACTACATAAGCTGATCGCCTGAATCCCTAATCCACCACATCTTTGGCGAGACTCTGTCGAAGACGCGGCGAGACTCTGTTCTGTCGAAGAGAGTCCATCAAGTCCGGACCACGAGTCCTTACCTCTCTTTCTCACGCATTTTCAAGATCTTCCCAAGGTTTCATGAACGGAGTTTTGGCTCTAAATTCCCTGCCCACCGTGCACGGACTCCGCGTCAAGGTCCATTTGTGGCTCCGCCTTGGCATCTTCGCAGTGCATCAAGAAGGTCTACCTGTGCCTGTACTAAGAAGGGTCGGCTGCCCTTCCTCCCGACTTTCCACTTGTGGACCTGCTGACGGCTTATTGTCCCCTTAGGGTTGGACAAAAGTGTTAATTGGACTTCGCTTAATGCTCTGACCCACCAGTATGAGGAGTTGAGCAATGATATGATCGGGTTGTTTTGATGGGGTGTCCGGTTCTTGGATGTTTAAAGCTCCATGATTGCTACAGCTCTAGTGTGGACCGGATCCAAATTCATTGAACAATAATGAAAGCGGTTGGTAATTTCGGCGTATGTGATAGTAGAAGATCGCTCTACTTGGGAGATTTCAGCTCCATATTCGCAGTCATTCGGTTTAGTTCGAAACTTCTGTGAAAAGCAATTAAGGTCGTTTGAAGAGTTGAGTTTGTCCATTGGAAATATTGTCCCTACAATAGGGGGAGGGCACAAAATCGTGGCAAACATGTTGAAGCTGTGCGTGAATTCCTCCATCCTACCTTGCAATCCATTGATCACGGGGTGGTCAAACTCTATGTAAAGACCCAGGCCAACGATGGCAGAGAGTAGTCGCTGGGGCTAGAGGGCCTGGATTAGAGTGGCTCTTGGCAGGCTTCTAGGATGGCAAAAGGGGACATGAATAAATCGAACTGTGCACCGAACAAAATGATAAACGATTCTCAAATATATATATTATGAAAACTAAATTTAACTCATAGATGAGGTTTTTGATATAACGGCAATGTTTAGTATTGGAACTCCAAAGTTAAGTGTGCTTAAGTGGGAGCATTCTTAGGATGGGTGACTTCCTGAAAAGTGTTTACCCGTACGTCAAAGGACAAAACCGTGAGACTTGGTATAGAACGGGCTAAAGTGAATAATTACTCAGTGAATTAAATTCAATGCGTCACAATATAATATTAGAGTGGAACCTCCTCCAATAGGTGTATGGTTTGGGGACAAACTATGCGGAAGTTGGTGGACTTGAAACAATCCAATCCGACGAGGATGGGGAGTAGTCACCAGGGCCAGATGGCCTAGACAATGAGCGAGTCTTGGCAAACTTCTAAGATGGCGAGAAGGAATTAATTGAACTATACACCCAAATGGGGGAAAGCGATTATGAGATATATATATATATATATATATGTGTGTGTGTGTGTGTGTGTGAAAACTGAAATTAACTCACAGAGGCGCCTTTTGACATAGCGGCAATACTC